TTGGATTGGGGAGGGAGAAGAGGTGTAGGTGGAGGGACCGGGGGGCCGGGTTCAGGGTTTTGAGAGGGGGGTGGTGGGGGTGGTGGAGGCGGATTCGGAACGAGGACGAAGTTAGTTTGCAGGTATGGGATTTGGAACTCCTGTAGGGGTTTCCTACTCCATGTCAGTCTGGCCTGCGGTTCCTTCTCGCTTCTGTATTCATGCTTCATGGCCTTCCAGGCTTCGTGTGTCTGGGCTCTAATCACCTCCTCCAATGCTTGCTGGGCCTGTTGCAGTCCGAACTGGAGTTCCTTACTCCTGTTCTTTCCCCTGATCTTTCCAATGTCACCCTCCAAAACCTCCCCTCGCATTTAGTTCCTTCGGGCAGTCCGCCCTTCCCAAGCTCGCAGTGCCCTATTTATCCTGCCTTGCATTCAATAGTAGTAATCCCCAGCTTGTAAGCACAGTTCGTCTTTTTGCCAGCGTGAGACTCCCCCCTCCCCCCTCTCCCTCCCCTCCCACCCTCCCCACCCCCCCCTACCTCATCTAAGTCTACGTACTCTAATGGGCCTTCTATAGTACACGAACTACAATGACCCTTCCTTCGCTACCTAATTACTATCAATTATACATTCCGGCATCCGCTCATGGTCACACGGGCATGTCTATATCAGGCCCGCTCTTCGTCCATGTCAGGTCCGGGCACATAGTGTTGCAGGGCGGGGCCATACTGCAGCCGTTCTGTGTGAGGGTCCCGAGTCACCAGCTGCAGGTATGGGCCCCATCTCTCCCAGAATCCAGTCACTTTAGTTTGCCCAATACACTTGCTCCGGCAGAAGTCCGCCATCAGGGTGATCCTGATGTTCTCCATTACCCGCTCCTGATATGCCCACAGCGCCTTGCCAGGCCTGCCTGCATCGCTTGTTCCTTAATGTCCATAGGGCCTTCAACACCACTGCTCACACGAAATCTTCTGCCATCAGGTCCCCAAAGCGTCATCTGTTAAACTTTATCAAGGTGCCCAGAAGGATTGCAGCATCATCCGTTTCATCGACATTCAGTGGCGTTTTGTGTGCAACTTCCTCTGCCCACCACATCCAGAACGCCCGGACCTCCAGACATCGCATGAAGAGGTGGCGAAGGATTTCCTCCTGACCACATCCTGCAACACATGTCCGGTCTTTAAAGCGACTTTTAGTTGCTTGCCACTGTGCTGTCTGGATCGCCATATGGTAGATTTGCCGCAACAGGCCGGCCTGCTTTTGATCTGGCAGGGCTGCCATGAGTGCGCACTGCTCATTCCATGTGTGTTGTGTCCATCTATCCACGCATGCGCTGGGGAGCCAATCCCACTTGGCCCAGCAACTTAACAAGCCTTCAACTCGTTGCAAAATTGAATAAAACAAATAATAGAAATAATAGGAAAAAAAAAAGAAAAAAAAAGAAGAAATAATAGAAAGCTGGTGGGACAGGAAGCCGACAAAATTCAACAGATCCCATGGAAAAAATATGCACAGATCAGACCAGTTAAGATCAGAAGTCTGCAGTGGTTGATAGCGTATGCTGCCTTACCAGTGAACCAGTGGCTGCACACTAGGCGTAAAGCTACTAATCCGGATAGCTCGGAGATATGTACAGTCTGCTCGGCAGGAG